AGTTTTTTTTTTGTTTTTTTGGGTACGTCTATATTTTTAATTTAACACTAATAACTCATGTGGTGGTAATGGAATTGCTTTGTATGAGTCTTCCCTTTCAATCTTACTTTAATTTGTTCATACCCACAATAAAGGTCAACATCACCTCACTTTAACCAGTTTTGGATGATAAAAGACGTATGAGGTTGGATTTAATTAGGAAAGCTTCAAACGCTGTCCCTTTTTTTCTTTTCTTTTCTCTGATGTTTAATGGTTTAATATACATCAATGATAATGTAGGAAGAATATGCTTGGTTTCTCCTCTTTTTATATGTTGTGTCTTAGTTACAACAAAAATAATAATTATAGTGGCCACAAATCTAATAAAGCTTCTCAATTCTTTTAAGTGAAGTCATCTTCAACTTTGATTCACTACGGTAGTGGTTTGGAATAAATGCTATTTTTCTAGGAAATGTCATGAGTTCGAGTCCTAGCATACGTGTAGTCAGTGGTGGAGCTAGGATTGCACATTAGAGGGGGCCCTTCACAAAAATTTTAAAAATAATTCGAATAGGAGCCCTCATTAATAATTTATCCATTTATTACAATCATAATTGTCTTGAATATCATATTTAACATGGTTGAATATTAATCTCATCATCTACACTATTAAAGACACAAAATGTAATAATTTATACTTCAACAGAGAGAAGAAATACAAAAAATGTTCATAAATCCCAATATTAAGATGCCCTACTTAGACATGTAAAATAGGAGAAAGGAAAATTTATAAAGCTTAAGTTAATCAAAAGAGGAAGAGAATGAGAAAAAATAGAAGAAGAGTTTTTACTCAAAGAAGCAAACATATAGCAACACATATAAGTTAAAATGTGAGAAAATAAAAAATATGAGTGAGGGCCTGGGCCCACCCTGGTCCTTAGGTGGCTCCGTCACTGCGTACGCCACTACGTATAGTGTCAAGTAAGTGTGAATTTAGTAGGTTATCGTTACTCTCAATAGCAAAGTAATAGTCATCTTCAACATGAATGCCAACGGAATTTTAAATGCACTATATATGCTTTGAGCCTAGGGTTAGTTTGATTCGATTATAAACAAAATTAATTACGAGGATGATTATCATTAGTTGTCCAAGGATCGAAAGACAGTTGCACTTTTTCATACTCGAGGAGGGAGGAGGGAGGAGGGAGGAGGTAGGGCTAAAGCATAAAAGCATCTCCAGGGAGAATTGTCTCCTAAAAGAAAAAGGGGCTAAACATTTTGTAATATTTTGTAAAGCTTGGCACAAGTTCTGAAAAAAACCAAAAAATAATGAATACTAAAAGTAGAGCAACTGTATAAAAGAGAGAGAGAGAGAGAGAGAGAGAGAGAGATTTTAGAAATACAAAAAATAAGCTAAATAATAATGTTTTATTTTGGTGGGTTTATAAAGTTTAATTACTGTTAATGTTTTTAAAGTGTGGAAATGAATGATTAATTATTGGTGGAGGTGGAGCCCAAGGCGCCAAGGAAACAAATAAAAGGCGAACAGAGCCAAGTTGTCCTGTGTCCACTTGCCTTTACCACAATCATTCCAAACCTGACATCACCCGTGACATCAGTTTTCCGACAAGGCCCGAGCGATCCAGCAAACTGGACCCTCCACTTGGCAACATCTCCACCATCTAAAGCCCCCAAAAGATTCTAGACCAATACCATATATCTTCTCAGACAGGAGCTAATTTGGCCTTCTTCCAAAGTTGCACGTTTTCTATCTAGCGCTCCGCTTAAATTTGCACCCTCTTCACCAGCACATTATAACTAAGCAAGATCGAGAAAGCTACAGCCCATTCTAAACCAACAAAACAAAGGAAAAAAGGAGAAGAGAGAAAAACCCTAGAAGAAGAAGAAGAAGAAGAAGGAAGTGACGAAGATGAGCAGCACGACGATGCGTACCGTGACTCGTGAAGAGCAGCATCAGAAATATAGCTTGATAAATTTTGAAGAGACTGAACTGCGCCTAGGGTTGCCTGGTGGAATAGCTAATCCTGGAAAGGATGGAGAAGCTGCCAAGAACAATGGGAAGAGAGGTTTCTCAGAAACTGTTGATTTAAAGCTCAATATCTCATCTCAAGATCAGTCAGCTGAACAGGATGATCAAGATCAACAACTACTGGAGTTGAAGAAGGAAAAGAATGCTGCTGCACCTGCTCCCAGTGCTAATGACCCATCTAAACCCCCTGCTTCCAAGTAAGTGATCTCTTTTTTCTTCTTAGATTTCATTTGAAGTACAAAGTTATGAAGTAATTACAACTCAAATTTGAACAGACGACGACTTCGAGTGCAGAATAATCTACAAGACCTTGGCGGTTTTAGTTTAGAAAAAAAGCACTTAGTTTGAAACAATATTTAATTTTTCCATTTCCATGGATACCATCCAGAAAAATAATTGATGTAGAGTATGGAGTGCGTATATTGTAATTTGTATTTAGGGTGGGTGTTTTGGAATGCTTGGGTTGGTTGTCGGGATGACCAAGGAAACGAACAAAACATATGGAATCTTATTAGCTTTTTTTCCTCAACCACAACCACCAAACAAGAATTAAGGAGAGCTCATCAAAAAGTAGAACAAGGTAGACTCATATACGCTATACGCTATTATTACAGGGCTCAAGTTGTGGGTTGGCCACCCGTCCGATCTTTCCGAAAAAACATCGTGACCGTCCAAAAGAAGAGCTCGGAGGAGGGTGAAAAGGGCAACAGCAATATCAGTGCAGCATTTGTTAAAGTAAGTATGGATGGGGCGCCCTATCTGCGTAAAGTTGACTTGAAGTTGTACAAGAGCTACCAAGAGCTGTCTACTGCCTTAGGCAAAATGTTCAGCTCCTTCACCATTGGTAATTTTATTAATTAATTAATTATTATTATTAATTATTGTTTAATTGTTAATTACTTTTGATAATATTTTGTTTAATTTTGGAATATTGAAGGTAACTGCGGGTCAGATGGAATGAAGGATTTCATGAACGAGAGCAAACTGATAGACCTTCTGAATGGTTCTGATTATGTGCCTACTTATGAGGACAAGGATGGAGATTGGATGCTTGTGGGGGATGTGCCATGGGGGTACTTAACTCATTAATCAAATTCAATATTATTTATTTTGTTAACTTTGAATATATATATCACTCATTTTGCTTTTGATATCACAGAATGTTTGTTGATTCATGCAAACGCTTGCGGATAATGAAAGGATCTGAGGCCATTGGACTTGGTTAGTACCTTCAAAATTAACTACACCATGTGTTATTACGACGCACAAACCAAGTTAATCCAACTTATGAAATTAATTAATTAATTACAATTTGCAGCACCGAGGGCCGTGGAGAAGTGCAAGAACAGAAGTTGAAGTATTGGTTCCTTGGCATGGGCACAATCAAATGAAAGCAGACCGGCTCTAGAGGGATGGAGCACGAAGTTTGGATGTACCTGTGACTCTGTACCATGTTTTTATTTTATATTTTTTTTTGGTCCTTTGATGTTTTAAAATTATATGGAAGAATATATTCGGAGATTTGTTAGGGACAAGAAGTAATAATATATTATAGAAGATGTTCATAGTGGCTGGCTCATGTGCAACTTTCTTTATTGTCTATGCCCCTGTTTAATAATAATATTGCCAGTAATGTTTACTTGTCAACATTATTCTTATTCTCCCTAGTTTTTAATGGCTTCAAGTTCAACAATATTATGTCTTGTGATGATGAGATTCTCTGCATTTTAAATTATAATTCATTTTACATAGTTAATTGATCAGAAATATTATCTTAATTATATTTTAAGGACAACATTAGTTGATTTGACACATAAAAACATTATCTTCTACAGTTGTATTTATAATTTATTGGTTGATCAGAACTTGAGGAGATAATAAATAAGATCCATGAACCTTGTGATAAGGTGGAGCAGGATTCCATGTGGGTATTGTTGGTGGAATTTATTATCTTGATTGATTAATTATGTGTATCCCATAATTTAGTTAGACAGCAATTCGTACCAAACGAAAGCTGTCGAGTAAGATATGCAATTTTGATACAGGGAGGAGGAATGAGAAAACGTATGCAATTATAGTTAGGCATGGTGCTGTCAACGGAGTCTAGCTTACAAACTAGTGGTCTCAAATCAAAACCCTACATAAGGTATAGATATGGACCATTTCTTATATATATATATATATATATTCATGCACCTCTCGAGCCTTTGAAAGGAACCATCCCAGAAAAATCACAACAGGATATATGTGAATATAAAATGAAGCTAGTTAGCTATAGCTAGCAAGCTCGATCGTCAAAAACAAGAAGAGTAGTAAATTAGAGAAGAACATGCATGCATGAATAACACCCGCATAAAACTTGGGATTGGAGAAATTAATTTGCCCTTTCAAAGATGCCTAACGATGCAAATTTAAAGTCAACATTTTGATTATATATTCCTTCTCCGTATGGTAAGAGAATATCTTATCGCTTTATAAACATAAAACTAGGGATTTGCAAGTTGCAACAACATCTTCTTTCTTTTTCTCTCAAACTCCAACATGAAACTCGGGATTTGCAAAATTTGTCCTTTCCTTTCCAGGATTCTTTTATCTGTGTAATCTCATAAATACATTCTACTTTTGTTTCTTTAAATGTTGCATATGCTTTCTTGTTTGTTTGTCTGTGTAATCTGGATCGTATATCTCTCTGTATCACATCGGCCCAAAAAACTTGAGTTGAAGCCCTAATTTCCAAGTTGGGCTGGGTCACTATTCCTTGCGAATGTGGTGGTTGGTGGCAAAACTTGTGCTGCTGCCAATTGATATGGATATGAATTGAATTGACATGACGATCATATCTTGTTTGTTTGTTTGTTTATCCATTAGCCTCAGTTTTTGACCAGATGAAGCACAATATTATGGATCCTCCACCACCTTCTTAAACTCTATCTCTACTTTTGAATGCCAAACATGATAAGTATTTCTTGACCATTACCCTTAGGCCGCTGAGATAGAGTCTCTTCACATTCGTTTGGCTTGGTCTACTTTGCTTCATTCAAGTCATTCAAGAAAATGCAAAAAGCAATTAATTGCTGCTGACCAACAAGTCCGAGTCAAGCTTGGAAGTCAAGGTTGGCACAAGTGCTGATGTCAACAGTAATTTAACATCACCCTGCGATGCGAACCTACTACTATAAATGAATGAGCAGTTTAGGTTGCACAACACCCCATATCCAACAATTTAAAAAGATATTATCATATTAGAGAGAGAGAGAGAGAGAGTTGATGAAAATGGCGAAGTTAATGTTTTTGTTATTGGTTTGTGTCATGAGTTTGAACGCAGCAAGTGCCCAAAGTGCAAGCAACGTTAGAGCCACGTACCACATCTACAACCCAGAGAAGATTAACTGGGACTTGAACGCAGCTAGTGCTTACTGCTCCACTTGGGATGCTAACAAGCCTTTGGAATGGCGTCGCAAGTTTGGATGGACTGCGTTTTGCGGACCTGTTGGGCCTCGTGGACAAGCTTCTTGTGGCAAGTGCTTAACGGTATGTAATTATAATTAATTTAACTTAATTACGGCAAAAGAACATACGATTACAAACAAACAAACTATTGAAAATGAATTTTAATTTGATTTTGCAGGTTACAAATGTGAGGACAGGGACACAGGCGAAGGTGAGAATTGTGGATCAGTGCGGCAATGGAGGCCTGGATTTGGACCAGGGTGTGTTTAAACGACTGGACACTGATGGGCAAGGCTATGCCCAAGGCCACCTTAGGGTCAACTACCAGTTTGTCAACTGTGGCGATTAAATCTCATGTAATAGTAATCCTAATTTTAAGAAATAAAACCCTAGGCTATATATATATATATATATATATATATATATAGGTAGGGAAACTGCTCATACGGTAACATTTGTTATCGGTTCTCCATCATGCATGCATGGTGTACTTATTTATGAAATAAGAAATTGTCTATCTTGTTTGTTTGTTTGTTTATCTCCATTAGTCAAAAAGTAGTTGCCCATATTAATTAAGGTGTCGCTTTTGAATTGCCAAAACATGACACGAATTTCTTTCTTTTTTGTTTCTTTCCGGTGAAGATGATAAGTATTCTTCATCTCTTGGCTGATACTGAGAATCTGTAGATTGCTTTGGTCCACTTTGCTTCTAATCATTCCAGAAAAAAACAAAAAGCAAAAAGCAAAAAGCAAAGAGCAAAAAGAAAATAATTAATGTTAATGTTAATGTTAATGGGGAAGTGGGGAAACAGAGATAGAGCTGATGAAAATGGGGAAGTTAATGTTAATGGTGTTGTTGTTACTGGTTTGTGTTGTTGTGATTTTGGGTGGTGCCAGTGGCCAAAGTGCGAGCAACGTCCATAGCTACAAACCCAGAGCAGATAAATGGGGATTTGAATGCAGCAAGGGTTTATTGCTCCACTTGGGATGCTGGTAGTAAGCCTTTGGAATGGCGCTGCAAGTTTGGATGGACTGCCTTTTGCGGACCTGTTGGGCCTCGTGGACAAACTTCTTGTGGCAGGTGTATGAGTGTATGTTCCTACCTAATTAATCGATCCTTTGATTTTTCACAAAGCGATTTCTAAACTAATCTAATGTACGGGAAAGGTGATGGAACTTGGACACACAGACTTAACCCTCCCTAAATCAAGTTACAATTGATATAATATGATTTAGTATATTACAAAAAGCATACAGATTATTGAAGATGAATGAATTTTGGCAGGTGACAAATGCGAGGACAGGGGCACAGGCGATGGTGAGAATTGTGGATGAGTGTAGCACTGGAGGCCTAGCTTTGGGTGATGGGGTGTTTAAACGACTGGACACTGATGGGCAAGGCTCTGGCCAAGGCCAACTTATAGTCAACTGTGGCGATTAAATCATCTCATGTAATTATCGTAATAAATTATAGTGGTAATAAATCATCTATGTGTGGAAGAAAACAAAGTAATGAATGAAATGTTTAGAATTAGCTAGGCTGCTGCTTGCTGGTAACAAACAAAAACCAGGGTGCATGTACAAAAACTTCATAGTAAAGTTGAGCAAGGACGGCAGACAGACGGGAAAGCTGGCATTGGCATTGGCATTGGTTGCCAAACTAGTACTGATGCCAATATCCTTGTTACAAAACAAATCTACATCCATCAACTTCAATCAATGCAAATCTCTCAACGATTAACGATGATCTCTTCATCATATTATAATTAATAATCATTCTTAATTACTTAGTTACAATGTCCTTTTATTTAATAACATATATACTTGGGTTTTTCACTTAGTTTCTTCTTGTGAATCTGCGCCTGCCAATTAACATATAACATTACGTACAATACAAGTATATACAAGTTACGGTCAAGCCAAATTGTTTGTCATCTCATGACTCATGACTCATATGTGTCTTCCTGGCTGCTTCTAGATTAAGCACTTTTAGTCGCGAGTCGCCACCACTAGAATAATATAAAGACTACTCCTTTTCTTTTTCTTTTTCTTTTTTGGGTACACAAATTCTAACTGGTTTATATTCATCTATGCTTTTCGCTTGTGTTTGTGAATGTATAATTATATAACACTCAATTCAACGGATGAAAATCCCTACCTTACCCCATCTCGAAAGTCGTCTTCTACCTGATTTTGTGCCCTAATCAGTGTGTAATTAGATAGTCTATGTACCATCCATTCTACTATTCCAACTGGTACTAGATATATAAAACATATTCTAAATTATTTTAATTTATGATGATGAGTATTTGAGCTCGGATCAAAAAAGCAAACACAATATTGTCTTGTCTTGAACAACTGGCTTAACTCACATGCAATATACAATACTAGATAGCCCCAAAAATATAAAGCAAACCAGACAAGTGTAGTCTCTCTCTTTCTATATCTCTTCTTGTGCTGTATACAATATGCCGTCTTGCCACGTCCTATATAGTATATAACAATAGGCCTCTCTTCGTCCCTATATAAATTGCATCCAAATCAAATGCAAAAATCATTAAAGGTCAGAAGTCGAGAAGGTGGTTGACAATTCACGCACGCCAACGCCATACTAGAATTAATTCCGACATCCCAAGCCAATTAATTAAGGGTTGATTAGTGATTGCAACACCACAACCTCAAAGTATCCTTACTTTTATTCTCCAAATCATCTAAATCTAATCGATCATCTCCCAAAATATCCTTACTTTTATTATTGTGTACCACACCAGAAACAAATATTCACAAAAATGGTGGGGAAGAAGAGTAATATGATGAGGCCATGTTGCTGTGCCTGTGTGGTGTTAGTTTGCATGATTCTGGTGGGAAGTGCTTGGGGACAGAGTGCTACAAATGTCAGATCCACATACCACCTGTACAACCCGCAGCAGAACAACTGGGACTTGCGGGCTGTAAGTGCCTACTGCACCACATGGGATGCCGATCAGCCCTTTGCATGGCGCAGCAAATATGGCTGGACTGCCTTCTGCGGCCCCGTTGGCCCTACCGGACAAGATGCTTGTGGAAAGTGCCTCTTGGTACGTACATATCTTTCTTAATCTTATGTTCAATTACAATCTCAATTTACATGTTTCCTTCTTTTCCCTCGTAATGATGATGAAACGTTGATTCAACGCGTGCCAGTCGTCGAACTTAAGACCCTGTTGATATTGATATTGATATTAATGTGTGTGTGCACTGTGCAGGTGACAAACACTAGGACAGGAGATCAAGTAACAGTGAGGATTGTGGATCAGTGCAGCAACGGAGGCTTAGACTTGGACGTGAATGTGTTTAACCAAATTGACACCGACGGCAATGGCAATGCCCAAGGCCACCTTATTGTCAACTACGACTTTGTTGACTGTGGTGACTAAATTATTCAAGCCTCTCCATCTAAACCAGTAACACCCCCTAATTATTAATTACCAGTTTTTATAAATAAGCTTCCTGATGGAATAAGTTGAAGTGCAATTGCTTCTTCAATAATAACAAGTATTATATATGTGTTGATATCAATGATATGCAACCTTCGACCTTATGAATAAATGTGACCATGGACAAGCTTCTTGTGGAGACTTGCAGCAGACTCTCTCTGGTGTAATAGACTTGCAGCATATTGATCCAACGATTAAGTGATAGGGCCTCACCACCTAAAAAGCTATATATAGCGTCCTTAGTACTATATAATTCTTGTTTCCAAAATATATATATATATATATAGTTTGGGCTTTTCCATTGGAAGCCCTTCCTTACGGGGTTGTGCCCAATCTTCTTAATTACCAACTTCCTAACCCCGACTAACTTCTTGCTTCCTTTTTGGGCTTCGGCCCCATTTAGCCCAAACAAAAAATAGACCAACTTCAATAATAGTAATGGGCATAAAAGTGGAGAAGCTCCCTTTTTCAGTTACGTTGCATGCCGATGTGGTGGCGCTGTTACGAATCCTCTCAAATTATTGAATGTAAACAATTATTACAATCACAACCTAAAACAATAGTAATTTAAGTTACATTGCATGTGGAAATGACGGCGCTGTTAGAAATCCTCACAAATTAAGGTATATAAACAATTATTACAATAGAAACCGAACACGAGAATAATTTAAGTTACGTTGCATGCCGAGATGACGGCGTTGTAAGAATCTTTTCAAATTCTGGTACATACACAATTATTGCGATATTAACCCAACACGATAATAATTTAAGTGAAATTACGATATATGCTGCATTAGCATGTCACATCTTTTCCTTGTACAATGAATAGGATCACATTTTTTTTATATGTTAAAAGTAATACCATGTTTGGATAAAATTGGCCAGAAAAAATAGTAAAAAATCCATCACTTTCCAAAACAACCTTGGTCTAGAATTCAACGAAAAAGGAAGAGAGTAATAAATACAAGGAAATATAAACGGGGGCCGGGTAGGTGCAAGGCATACTCATTACGTGTACATGGTATGGTACGTAGCAGTCTCAAAACGACGCGCACCGTCTCACAGTCTCACTCCTATAAATCCAATCCAGAGTTGGAGTTGGTAAAACAAAAAAAAAAACACAATCTCAAACTCGGTCTTTGGTCTTTGTTGCAGCACAAGACACACACTCCACAGTTGCACCGTCGCACGCACAAAAAAAAAAGCCTTTGCTTTGCTTTCTTTCTAACATCTCTATCTCTCTCTCTCTCTCTCTCTTATTATAACTCATCTCTTTCTCTCTCTCTCTCGCTCATGTTTTTTCATCGAAGAAGCTCAAACAACCCCACCGCGCTCTCTTTGTCCTAAACCCAACAAACCCCACGTAATTTTCCCGCAAACAATCAAACCCCATCTCTTAATTTCACCCCAAAACCCGCCACTTTCTTCACTCTCTCAGATCCAACACCTCCAACCATCCAACACGTCCCAATAAAAGCCAAACCAAGCTTTGTTTTTTCGCATATTTATCCACTCTTTGCTCTGCGTTTCTCTTGTTTCCTCTGGGGTTGAATGTGGTTTGGACAGAGATACAGGGAAGCCGAGACAGAGGCTTTGAGGTAAAATAAGGAGGAAGACATGGCCAGTCAGGTGGTGAAAGTGAAGAGGGAGACACTGGAGGCATGCATGACGTGCCCTCTTTGTAATAAGCTATTGAAGGAGGCTACAACCATATCACTCTGCCTTCATACGTGTTAGTTCCTCTTAATCTCCCTTCCTTCAATTGTTTCTTGATTTTGTGCTAATTTTGTGATCTGGGTCTCCTTTTGTTTTTCATTTTATGATTCTGCTTCTTCATAATTTGTGCTTTTGGTATCTGGGGTTTGAGTCTATCATGCAAATTCTGTTTTTTCTCTCAGATTGTTTCGTATTTGATTTGCATTTCGTGCCATCTTTTGCAAATTGGAAACTGATATGTCTAATTCAAATTCTGTGTTTTGACACTATCTTTCTTCTTTTTGTTGATTAACACCTGAGGACGTTACGAAATTTTATTTTCTTTCTTTTTAATTTGTAATTTGAATTTTTTTTTTATGTGGGTCAGATAAGCTGCCATGCATCCCCATAGAAATGAAGAAAAGGTTTTGATTGTAAGATTTTTTTTTACTCTTTCAGTAATTCACTGCCAATATTTATAAAATCTTGAATTCCAAACCAGTTTGCAGGAAGTGCATTTATGAGAAGCTTTCAGATGAGGAGGTGGACTGCTGTCCTGTATGCAATATTGATCTGGGCTGTCTACCAGTGGAAAAACTCAGGTATAACTCCGATTTTGTGTACAAAGTTGATGCATAGTCAATCATGATAAAGGTGGATTTTCCCTCCCATAAATAAAGCTTTCTTGAGATGCCAATTTCTGAGACTAGGCTTCCTACTTGCTCATTAATTATCAGATGATTTTGTGCATGCTCATAGTTGTTTCATTGTACTAGTTTCCCAATCGTATTGTTGTTAATGTGTGCTGGAGCTTTACATTGAAGTGTTCTCACACATGCTTACGATGCCATTTGATTTGCAGGCCAGACCATAATTTGCAAGATATTAGAGCCAAGATATTTCCCCTTAAACGAAGGAAAATCGATGCACCTGAAATTACTCCCGAAGTAATTCCGGAAGTTACTCATGAAGTTACACCTTCAATTTCATTGCCAGTGAAAAGGAAGGAGAGATCATTATCTTCATTAGTAGTTAGTACCCCAAAAGTTCCAATGCAGACTGGTTTGACTGGAAGGAGATCAAGAGCTTTGACCAGAAAGGCTGCTGCTTTACGAGGATGCAGTTTTTCTGCTGAAGAACCTGTGAAGAGAGATGATTCTACAGAAGATCATCCAATGAGTTCTAGTTCAACTGAATCTCTTGATAGAGGTGCACGAAATAAGATGCAGGTAAAGGCAGGCATGATTTTGATTATTTGTGCTTTATGTTGATTAATTTATAGCAAAACCAAACAAGTCCAATGCTTTATATTGAGAAACTAATGAAAAGATATGATACATTAATCGTAACTCTAATCACAAGTAAATGCCTTAATTTTAGGAAATTAGCTCATTCTTAAACAAAATAGGGAACAAAATTTTATTTTATGGCAGGAGATTAAATATTCTAACTGGTCTTAATTACTTTTATTCTTCAACATTCTCCCTCAAGCTTGAGCAAAAATGATGATCTTGCCCAACCTGTTGTAACACAAAAGAATGGAGAGGCATTGACACAGTTAGGGAAGATGATGTGGAATGGCGATGACAACCAATGAGAGAAATTATGTATAAAAAAAACTCTTGAGGACAATATATATGTATATATAATGTGGCGAAGCTTGATTGTACACCCCTAATCAAAGTGTGAAAAACTGACAAAGAATCCTATTTACGATATCTGTTTGCATCATGCAGGACTCACCCGAGCCTTCACATCAGCAAAACCCTAATAGAGATATGAATAATGACGTTGAAATAATAGAAGGCAAAGCTGATCTGTGGACACCCTTAAACTGTCTTGTAGAGGCTGCTAACCGAACCAAGTCTTCTAAGTCAAATTCACAAGGGCTGTTCCATGCCAAATCAGAGCCACTCAATGCCCTTGATGGTGAACTTTATATGTCTGAAAATAAGGCAGCAGAAGAAAAATCACCAAATGCTTTGGATAGTGATGCTTATATGCCTAAAACAAAAATAAAGGAGGCCGGACAAAGTGCGAGGGGAAAAAATAACAGTAACGGGACAGGGGTTGCAGGACCGGTGAAAAATAGAAGGTTGCGAGCAGGTAATCGTAACAGGGTAGCTCCATCTGGGGAGTCAAGTGCTTCGGCTCAAGCTATGTTAGATGCATGTGGAGATAAGCATAGCAGAAGAAATAGTACTATTTGGTTCTCCTTGGTTGCAACTGAAAATTGGTGAGATTCTCTTTGGTTATAAAATTCATCTGGTTTTATGTATTTGGCAAGCTCGATTTGTGATTTCTTTCATGCTGATCTCTGATTGTCATGGTAAATGTCTTCAGGAAAGGAGATGGTTCCTTGCCACAGATACCATCATCTTACTTGAGAATAAAGTGAGTTCCTGTAGTCATGTTTCTTGCTTCGAAGTTCTTCTATTTCGCTTCATACTGATTCATTCTCTTGTATTAGCGATTTAATCATCTTAAACATGTATGGAATAGAGCAACGAGTACCAAAATATAGGTTTAGCTTTGTGTCATTTTGTGTGTGAGTATGTACGTATGTTTCTTTTATTGTTTATTTTTATTTTGGAGCATTCTGTATATAACAAAAGTGAAGCAACAAGTCAGGTAATATTTTGCTAGAAAAAGAAAAACCATAAAGCTTGATAATGAGCTGTTATCTGAAGAGGCCTTGACATGTATATTCTTTTGATGGTTTGAACTGGTTTAAGATTTAGACTTTAGATGTATGTGAGAAATGATTTTGATAGATCTCCATCGATCTACTATTGATGATTGTTATATGTTGAAGCATGTATTAGATCTTACAATATTACTATTTTTGAGTGGCTCCTACTTGTTATTCTGAATTCCTGCAGTTATCTGGCTTATTATTACAGTGTGGAAGACACTTTTTCCATTTGGTTATTTAGTTGCCTAAACTAGTTGTAGTGACTTTCCCTCTTCTTTCACAGGGATGGTAAAATGCCTGTATCATTCATCCAGAAGTACCTTGCGAAGAAACTTGAACTTAACAGTGAAGATGAGGTGAGTATATCTTTGTTGCCTTTAACTTGACTAAAATCCTATTCCATCTATCCAAAAGTAGTTTAATGGAGAAACCGAGGGAGGCTCTGTTCAGTTTCCTTTCATACGCAGAGAGTGCATTTTCCTACTGTCATAGACGCTATGATTCAAGTGTCACATTTTACTACGCAAAATGTGGGAATAACTCTTTGACTTATATTGTTCAATGCATGCATTTTGAAATGAATGTTTTCCTTTTAATTATCAGTAAAAGGAGTGATAGGGCCTGGCTACATTTTCACTTATGCTTCAAGTTTTTATATTTTCCTTTCTTGTAGGTGGAGATAATGTGCCGGGGTCAGTCAGTGCTTCCGACATTGCAACTAGAAAACCTAGTAGATCTCTGGTTTCGAACAGCAACAACACCAAAAAAGGTACCGGCAGTAGTTGGCTCCTCAGCCAAAGATTTTGTGATGACCC